CCTGTTCAATATGATGGTGAAGTTGCAGGTGTCTGTTGGGTTTTTTGTTTTTTTTTTTTTGACACACGAAACATTTTGTTTTAAATTAGCTTTAAATATTTTTTCATACTAGTATGAAGAACAGAAAAATGGGAGATGGTTAACCTGAATGCTGGAGTCTGCAGTCAAAATAACAGTAAAGGGTGTAGCACTGAGTTTCATACAGAAAAATGCGTACACTTACATGGATCTTTCACATTAGTTGTTCAAATAATGCTTCGAATAACCAAGCAAGATGTTATCTAGTGGCATAACTAGAAACACCTTGCATGAGAGAGAAATGCTGTGCATGTAATTTTTGTCTGCTTTTCACAATACGCAGTGTTTTCTGCCTATGCCAAAATAAGTACAGATATTTGGCAAAGCAGAATTCTGCAGTGCCCTACCAGTAGCAATTTACACCTACATTGAACTTGCCTTACCCAGCTGTACCCAGTGTTACAAAGCGCAAATGGAAAATGTGATCACTCTTGCTTGTGACACAGGAGGCTGTAGAGCTCTGCCCTGCAAAATCTGTGGCTTTACAAGAAAGATTACACTGGCTACAAACAAAAACTATCAAAGCACTTAACTCCTGAGGTAAACTAATATTTGCTAATGGAGTGTCTAGTGGCAACATCTTAGTGTTGATTAAAGCTGCAAGATCCTTCAGTTGTTTATAGTTAAATGGTTGTTAGAGCAGTAATTTACTATTTAATTACTGAGTCACTTGTGTTTTGCAGTAGTTTGTCTGGGGGTGTGTGTATACGCATTCATTTATACATACACGCGCACACACACACACACACGAAATCTCAGATGTCTGCAGGATGCTTGTTTAGGTTTTTTTTTTTCCAGTTCATCAGATTTATTAAGGGAATAATGTTGGCTCTTAAGAGAGTACCATGTGAAATAGCTGTTACAGTCAGAATACATTCCAGATCATATGAAGTCTGCACCAAAGTGGTTCTGAAAGAGGCAGTTTTGAAATATGGGCATAGTGTATTTAAAAAAAAATACGAACACTAATGATCCAGCATTCTGGAATTCTCACAGTGGTAGCCTAGGAACAATGGTTTAGAAGTACAGTATCAATTTAGATTGTATGCTGTGCTTCAGCTTTCATGCCTTGATGCTGGGCACTTTAACCATCTTTGTTTTCTTGAATTTCAAGGTAGATACACCTACATAGGTGATAGCAGAGGTAATCCTGGTAATAAATCTGTTGCTTATGTAATAAACTTTAGTAGTCAGAGAAAAACACCATGTCATTCTATGGAACAGGATTCTAATTCTCTATTAAAAAGTGCATAACGGGTTGTATATTTAACACCGGGGTACAGGAATTTGAGGCTGGAGTTGGTGCATCGAAATGTCTTGCATCTGATAGCTCTTAACTTTGCAGACATATCTGGTAGTTACTGACTGTGAAGTGGTTTGTAGTGCCTGGGTCTGTGCTGTGTGACCCACTGTAAACATTGATGTGAAACACTTCTGTGCGGGGCTCCTACTTCATAGCAATCTGTGGTCATCCGGGAATGTTGTTTTCTCAGTGCTGATGTCCCTTTCTGTATCTGAGAAGACTTTGCACCAGCAAAAGTCTTTAATGTTGCCAGACATTCAGCTCAACCCCTGATGGGCAGATTGGCAAATCGTATAGTGTCAGCAAGGTCTGGTGCCTGGGATGCTCCTTCTGGAGCCATCTAAGACCTGATGTGTTTAAAATACAGAGAAAGCTGCACATTCACTTCTTTCTATATACTCAAGAAATCTTTCCCCATATGCTCTAACAGTAGCAGTAGAAAAACAGCTCAATTACACAGCACCCTGATGTGACTACATGCTGCTTTCTCACAGAGTTAGAAAGTCAGAGATACTAATGAGTGGAGGAAAATTATGAAGGACAAGGAAAGAGGAAAAAACCTCTGTAAATAATTAAAAGAAACAAAGAGGAAAAAAACAAAACACATAGAAGGAAATGGAAAAAGAGGTTGGTGAAGTTCCCATACAAAAAGCATAGCTAGCGCTTGCTTCATAGTTAAGCAGTGGTAGAGAAGTAACTTCATTTCCATACTTCCAGTGTTTTGATGTTATGCTTTTGGCTACTGACTAGGAGCTAATGCTGATAGTTGTGCTTTAAGAGGACATGAATGAAAACAGAGGCCATTCTGGGGAAACTTTCTTGTTCCCTTATGGCACTTGAGGGAAAAATTGAGGGAGTACTTTCAAATAGATTTAATCCATGACAAAACCAACCTCAAATACAGAAATATTCTGCTCTTAGGAGTTGAGGTGTTAATGTAGTGTTTGCTTATATATTTTTTACGTAATTTGATTTGGTTTATGTACCTACTCAGTAGGGAGAGAGGTTCTGAAGTGGAAAAGTGTAACAAACATAGTTGGGTCTGCTGGGCACAAGGGCTTCAAGCAGTTTCAGTATAAATCAAGGGTGGTTTAGGAGTTGCTGAACAGGTTTCTGGCCTAATAAGGGTAAATACAGGAAAGGTGGCAGTCGGAGTTCCAGACTTGGTCCACAGGCATGACAGTTACGATGGATACATGTTTTTCTGGAGAGACAGGGAAGATGAGGGTGGGAGGGTTGCCCCTTAGTGAAAAGAGTGGCCGGAATGAATGGAGCTCTTGGATGAGTTACAGGCTGGTTGAGAAGGCTAAGGATCAAAGGAGAGGCTGCTGAGGGTGACAAGCTGGTGGATTACAGACCAGCTGCTCATGAACCTGACCAGTGGGTTGATTAAATTAGCAACTCAACAATACCTATGGGGCATAGATCCTGATCCTTGGAGACGAGTTGATCTCCCTGGCAGCTTGGAAGGGCAACATGGTGGGATGCAAGCAATGTCTAGCAGGTAGATACACTGACTGCGCCAGCCAGGGGTGTTACAGAAATGGATGTCCGCTAACAAGGAATAATTGTTTAGGAATGTGATAACAACTCTGGCTGTAGTCATGATGATTCAGTAGAGCTCAAGATCCTAAAAGGAGTGGGGAAGGCAAGTCCTTGGACTTCCTATAGCAAACTTTGGATTATTTGTGGAACTGGTAATTAGAATGTCATGGGAGGCAGTGCTGAAGGGTAAAAGGGAGCATAGGAAAGCTGACAGTTTTTTAAGAGCAACTTTCTTACTGTGCAAGAGTGGCAAATCCAAATAGGAGAATCGGTTGATGAACTGGGACACCAGCTGGGCTGAATGGGCAATATTTGACTGAACCTCCTTGCAAAACTGTTGTGGAAGCAAGAATGGTGAAGGAGTTACTAGAAATGTTGCCAAGGCATGTTAAGGATGGTGTTGGTGCACACTAGGGCTTGTGGAATCTCACACTGCTCTCAAATAAACCACGTAACAGTAAGAGGCTGAACAAAGAACATGTAGGCCTGTTGTTGAATCTGAGCACAGGTAAAGCTGATGTGCTCAGAGCTGCCTTTGCCTCAGTCTTCCTGACCTGTGTACTTGGAGGCAAGGCTCAAGCAAGCAAAGACCTACCAGCAATGGATGAGGATCAGGACAGACCTGTACAAACCTAAGACCAGCTGGGCTGAGTGTGAGGGTGCTGGAAAGAGCTGGCTGGTGCCTTGAGTGCAGCTGCTCTCTACTTTTTAGAGTGGAGTTAGGAGGGTCCACAACAACTAAAGCAAGGTGAGTGTTGCACCCATCTTCAGAAAAGGCCAAAAGGAAATTAGTCCCATGGAAAATGACCGAGTCTCCTTGGAACAGACTTGATGCTGTGTATTTCCTGTGCCTAGAAAGGGTGCCATCATGTGTCACCAACTGTCTGCCTTATATGATAAAATGGCTGCATTTGTAGGCATGGGGATGGTAGTGGATGCCATGGCAACTTTAGTAAGGTGATAGGCACTGGCTCCTGTGCTGGTTTTGTATGTGCTTGGGATTCTGTAGTCTGGGTGGGTGGACAGCTAGGTGGGTGAGAAACCGAACTGCACTGTAATGGGCTGCGCTTTGCCTGAAGGGCAACAGCAAGTGAGGCCTGTTGCATGTTAACATCTTTCTCAAGGACCTGGAGGACATGATAGGACCCACTGCTGCCATGCTCACACACAACCACATAGTGGGGGTGCCACTGACGTGCTTCAGGGCTGGGCAGGCTCAAGAACAGAGCAGCATGAGTTTTGTTTTTGTTGTAATACAGACATTCTGCATCTGGGATGGGACAGCACCTTGTACAGCTCCAGCTTGGGGACTGCCTGTCTGATTAGCAGCTCTGTTGCAAAGACTGTGGGCATGGTAGTAGGCAACAAACATAACAACAGAATGCCCCCAGCTCGGAAGGAGTGTTTATCCTAGTGTATCTGGCACTCATTCGGGCACTTCTAGCCAGTGTGCCCAGGTGTGTCATCCACCCCTCACAATCCTGTGCCAAGACAAGCTCAGTGGAGGGCCACCCAGGCCAGGGCTGGAGTACGTGTCCTGCAAGGGCAGGCTGAGGGAGCTGAACTTGTCTGACCTGGAAGAACGGAGGGAGGGCTCGCCACCATGTGAGGGAGGATGAGAGAACAGGAGACATTCAGCCTTTGGGTGTAAGGAGGCCGGTTCCACTGCGGGGAGCGCCGAGGCAGAGCCCTCCCCGGCCTGAGGCGCAGGGGAAGCGCGCAGAGCTGCAGCAGGGGGAGCGCTGGGGCTGGGGTGAGGGCCGAGGCGAGCAGCGGCCGAGACCCTTCCAGCCCTGGCCGGCGGGCGGAGCGATCCCCCTCCGGGCCGGGTTGGAGGAGCGGGCGGGAAGTGCCGCCGCCGCCGCCCGTGTCCTGCCTCGCTGCGGCTCCAGCTGGGCGCGGGGCTCGGCCCCACGGCTCGGAGGAAGAGGAAGTGGCCGCGGCTCCCGGCCGGCCTCTGCTGTGTTGGGCGCGGGGCTGCCCCGCCGTGCCACCGCCCCTGCCTGCGCCGCGCAAACTTTGTGCCAGGCAGCGGGACCGGGCGGCGCTGCCCCGGCACCTCCCTGTCGCGGAGCCGGGCGGTGGGGGGGAAGAGCGGCCCCGGAGCGTGGCGGGCGGGCACGGGCGGCAGCCGGAGGAGGCGGAGGAAGCGCTGTCAGCGGGGCCGGCCGTCTCCGCCCGCCGGGCATCCTTCAGCACCGCCGGGCTGAGCTTCGCCCGCCGCCTGTCTGAGGTATCGCCCGCCGGGCAAACTTGGCGAGGGGGCAGGAGGGAGTCGGGGGGTGCCCTGGGGAGGGTCGGCGCGGCAGAGCGGGGAAAGCCGCTCCGGGGCTCGGGTTCGTCCTTATCCGCGGGCTCCTGAAGTTGGGGGGGACCGGCCGGTCCTGTCCTGCCATTCTCTAGGGGGCCGCTAGGCCCGGGCCCGCGGCGGGAGGCGCAGTCCTGTCAGACGGTGAGGAGACCCCCGGAGCGGTCCGGGGGGCTGGAGGCGGCGGGGCCGAGACCCGCTTCCAGCCAGCGCGGTCGTTCCGGTCTGTCCCCCGCCGCGGTGAGGCAGAGCCGGGCCGGGGGCAGAGCTGGGTGGGTGCTCCTGCCCAGCCGCGCTCCGCTCCTCACACGGCGGGCACCTGGAAGCAGCGGTACCGCGACGTGCTATCGTGTGGCTATCGGGGGTCTGTGGCTCTACAGCTGCTATTTTCAAAGGCTGCGCTGGATATTGCCTTTATAAGTCCGCGATACTGCTCCAGCACGTTTTTGTTCCAGTGTGAGGACGGGCGGCATGACCGTGGGTCAGCAGCTGTGTATCTGGGCATGAAACCCATGTGCCTCCTCTCTGGTTTATCTGGATTCTTACCAGAGCGGCAACTTTTCATAGCCTGTGTATTTCTGGAAAGGGGAATTTAGTTGGATGGACTTTCGGAGCGCTTCAGCGGTGCTTCCAACTCGGTCAGATAATTAATGGGAGACATTTGTTCTCCATTCCGAAGGAGCGTGCTTGGCTCCAGCTCGGACCAGCGGAACAAGCTGAGGCAGAGGCTGCGGTGTGGCAGGACGGGAGCCGTGTTGGAGCCGTCCTATGGTCTTGGTGCAGGGGTGGTGGGTGTGCTAGGGCAGTTTTTGCGTGTAATAATAACAACAATACATGTCAAAATGCTCTTTAGTGTTTTCAGCCAAAGTTTGGAAGCTGATTATATATATCCTGCTTCTGGTTTTATGCTGTAAAAAACAAATTATGTTTGGTTTTAATTATTATTTATCAGAATAAGTAAACATCAAGATATAGCTGATCTCTAGTTTATAAGGGAAAAGCTTTCTGTACATCTGCTTTTATGTTTTATTTTTAATGAATCCAGTCCATTTCTGCTCTTGGTATTGAATAACAGGCTACTGGCAGTAACCCTCTTTTACACAATACTAGTGGTCACATTTGTGTATTTAATGTCCATTTTTTTCTAAGGAAAAAAAAAAGGCTCAGAATGAAGGGTTATTTTAGGAATCTAACTTAACCTCAAGTTAGTTACATTAGACAAGGGGCTTTCCACTGCTTGAATGCTGGCGTTCCCCTGTTCCGAGAGCGAGAATGTGGCACGAAATGAGTATATACGACTGTGATTAAATACTTGGGGGAGTTCTGAGCTATGATGCTGCTAAATGTAGATACCATACCGGGTGTAATGAAGTGGCCTTATACTCTGTGGTGAAAAAGCCGAAAAGCTGGAGCCACAGCCTTTGGAAGGACAAAAACTCAAAGTCTGCATTTGAAGTAAATAAAAAATAAATCACACAGCTATTATTCCATTTCCCAACTTCATGTGAGATCCCACAGCTTCACACCTGGCTCCAGTGGTCAACTTTACCTTTTACCCCAAATTGGCTGGCCAGGGTTTTATTCCATAGCAAACTAGCAACAGAGAGTAAGCATAGGGCTGTGAAGCCTGTCTAGGTTTGTGTTTTATGGTTTTACTCACTGTCCTTGAAACTACTGTGCATACATTGCATCATGCATCTGTTTTCCATGTCTTTCTGTGGGTTTAGAGTGGTATGGGATTAACTTTAAAGGAAGGCTGGATTCATATCTCACATTCCTATGCACTCTTCTGTCAGGTCCAGTCAGTCTTTAATTTGCTAGACAGTAAATGTTGGCTGTTACATTTTTCCCTTAAGTTCTTGAAAGCAGCTCTCTACACCTTCTTAGCATCTCAGAAGTCTTGTGTCTTCATTTGGAGGCATCTTGCTTGAGCATTTACAGCTGAGGTATTTCACAAGAAATTTCACCTGTGCTTTGTCTACCTTGACCAGAAATACCCTACTTTGTCTAGTGCAAGGTGTACCTGCTGGTGGCAGGGAATTGGAACTAGATGATTGTCAAGGCCCCTTCCAACACAAACCCTTCTATGATTCTATGAAATACCTGGTACCATCTGAATCTTTAGCTGTACTGAAAGACAGCATCAGGGTATCATAAGGTATTGTATCTTTTGGATGAGCGTTACGGGGTGGTGTGTGTGGGTGGGGTAAGAAGCAAGGTTCTCCCACTGGGCTACTGTTCCTCAGGGTGCTCCTGAACACCAGCACACTAGCCTTACTCCTCCACCAGTGCTCTCTGATGCTGTTTGCTTTTCTTCCTCCCGCACTCTCACCCAGATGCACACGCACACATGCTCAGACCAGCTTTGTGTCCCTAGGGAGGATTGAGTGCAGCTGGTGGCAGCCACTGGTGATAGACCAGGAGCTTGCAGAGGTGGCCCACCTACCTGTAGGCACAGGAGACTGCAGAGGAAAGTTAAGTGTGTGTTATTCAGGGCAGCAGAGTTGAGCCCAGGACTGGTGTTGTGAACACTGCAATAAAAACCATAGCACCTCATAATGTTTTGTTGAAATCACGTTATCACGGTGGCGTGTTATTTGACATGCTGCATGCTAGGGCTGTGCTTTCTTGTGACATGTATATAAGACCTATCAGGGTAGCCTGTTCCAATTTCACTGAACCCATATTGCATTTATCCATGTACTACTTCGTTGTCTTCCTAAAGCTTAGCAAACTCTTGAGGTGAGACTAACAGTTGTCTTAATTGGCGATATTATGCTTTCCTCATTGTTTTGTGTAGGCAGCACATTTTCTTGTCTCCCAGGGAGATGGTACCAAACCCGGTGCAATAGTTTGTCTTTAATTGTAGCAATCATATCTGCAGTTCATCATGACAGGTCTTCCAGAGTGCCTGGTAGGAGTCCAAATTAGTCCTACTGATTTGTGTTCTGCTTCCGCTTAGTTTGGTATCTTTGGCCTCTCTAACTGGGCTTGACTTCTGGCACATTTCACTTTATGCTGGTGTTTCTTGATCTGAGACAGTAGTTTCCTTTGCTGAGCCTTTTTTCTTGTCCCTTGAAATCTCTCTGCTTATTCTACCTTTCCTTCTTTATTAGGTAATTCATCTTGTTGTGTCTGGAAACCTTCTTATGAATTCTCTTGTCACTTGCTTGGGTTCCAAATTCTGCAGATACTCATATTGTAGTTTAAACATGTTCCAGACCTCCCCTGTGCTCACATCCTCTGACTTTTCATTCCTGTTCATCTCACTAATGATTTCCCATAGTTTTTGAGATTTGCCTTTTGAAATTGAAAACCTTAATTGCAGATTTACTTGTGTTGCCCTGCCATTTAATCTAAACCAAATCAATCACATAGAATAAACCTGGGATTATTCTTTCACCAGCCTTTCTATAAGATGAGATTTAGTTATCAGCTGCAAGTCTAAAATCCCGATAGTGCTGGTCAGTATATGGTGAAAAAAACCTGTTCAGCTGTGACATCCAGCAAGGGGTGGGACTGATTTATGGTGATTGTTCTTTGCATTGCACAATAAGTCTTTCAGAATTTTTCAGATCATTTGTTAAACATTACATATTAAACCACTGATCCCTCCCCACAAAGAAAAATTAGTCTGGTGTTTATTTGATACAAGCTTACATGGTTACCTGTATGGTAATACACCTGAAAAGAGACCAGGTAGGTATCTCTTGATAAGGAATTTACCTCCTGGTGGTGTAATCTCACCGAAAGCCTGTGCAGTGGTAAGCCAGGGTGGGGAAAAAAGGGTTATGTCAGGAGCATGGCTTTATTCTGGAACTGTATAGCAGGTCGTGCTGTCATCCTAGCATAGCATTCCCATTTCTTTGTACACTCAGTTTGTCAGGTCTGGTGTTTTTAACGCTCTGCTTGTTTATGCCTCTCTGCCTGACGGTTTGTTGCTTTGTGGGTTTTTTTGTTGTTGTTGTTCTCCCTTGTTATTTCTCTTTTGATTCATTGCTTTAACTATGCAAGGAAAGGGACATGACCATAATTTGCAAGCTCTCTCAGGGTTTGTTTAGAGCTGAATGGGGAACTGAACACTGGTGTTTTGTAGACTGGGAAGGATGCAAGGATTAAGTGACCACATGCCAGCAAGTGAACTGAGCTGAGCATGAACTGCTTTTTATTTTGAAAATGGAAAGGTCAGGATTGCAGGAGTGAGGGTTTAAGGAAATAAGTGTGTCTCATTACTGCACAACAAATGTGAAGCCCTGTCATTATTTGTAAAAGCCTTCTAGCATCTCTGTGAGGTAGCTAAGCATTACCCACAGGAGGAAGAACCAGGATGAAAGGACTTAACTAAAATCAAGAGAGAAAACCTATTAATACCTCACAGTTATCTTGTTTCCCAGCTGCCACACTCCTCAGTCAGAGCACTCTATTCCATAATTTTGTGAAAGGAACTTTAGCAGTAACTTACGATATTTTAAAAAACAAATTAATTCATGATAAAGCTTACAAAATGAAATTACTAGTTCTGAACTATAAACATCTTAAATGTGTTAATGCAAGCAAGGTTGTTCTCACTGACTGAACTTAAAACCAAACTGACAATAGCATAATTTGCCTGTAAAGCACATTGTCTTTGGATGCCATTGTAAATATTAGAATTATCTTGTTTCTGTTTCAGGTGTTAGTGTATTGTGTTTACACCTGTATTAGAATATTCAGTCTTATGCTATGTACTTAGCAGTTGATTCAAAAGTTATAAGTATTTAAAAGAACTGTTTAGGAATTCTTTTCAAATCATCCCAGTAAGTAGCCATTGGCATAATGCTTCCCATAATATTGATGTAGCTAAAATAAACTGTTTAGCCAACAAATACTTAGTTGATAGAAAAGACAATGTAGAAAGAATTGCCCCCTGCCTATACCACCCAAAG